CACACACCCCACACTACACACTCACACACACACACATTCACACACAAACACACACACACACACTCACACACTCACACACACACTCACACACTCACACACACACACCTACTCTCACAACACAGATTCCTGTCCCCTTACCTTTTTTGGTTTTGTTGATGTTGGTTTTTGGTTTACTGTGTTTCTTTGAATCTATTATAAAGATACTTTGGGTCCGTGAAAAACGCTCTATAAAACCTATGTATTATTATTATTATTATAGGTATCATACCCAGGAGGCGTACTCAGAGACCAGCAGAGTGGAGACTATCACCAGCAGGTTGACGATGGAGAGAAAAGAGCAGCTGAGCAACTCTTTCTCCTGCACACACACCTTCAACATGTCCTGTTCACCTCTGGAGAGGGACAGAAAAGTCCATGCGCTCCACCAGGTGGGGATCAAGTCTTTGGTCACCCCTCCTCCTATTCCTCCTCCTCCTGCCTTCGCTTCGGCTCCCAGTTTCTCTGATATACAGAGAGAGTTCCAGAAGAAGGAGAGACAGGGCCCTGCTCAGAGGAACTTCCCTGGGTTTCATACTTCTAACACTGATCAGGTTGGTCTTCTTAAGTCCTCAAACAATTGGTTTCCCCTGTTGTTTTTCATTTCTTGAAGTCCTCGTTGTTTTTGACTGAGGTATTATCATTACTTATTATCATACTTATCACTACTACTGGGGGTTTTCTGGCCCAAGAGCTCATACAGAAGGGATCTGTATGTGATAAGCTTTTATTGTGACCTCTGTCTGATTGTTTATTTTTTCTCATCCTTACAGGGCGAGCCTTTCTCCCAAGATGCATCACACCTGCTGCCGCCCACAGGTGGTCTGACGGAGGGGAACCTTCAGCGGCATAACCTCATGACGGAAGAATCCCTGTCCAACGACGAATATGAGTGCACTTCCCCCGACGACATCTCCCTGCCCCCGCTTTCCGAGACCCCAGAGTCCAACATCGTCCTGTCAGAGAATGACCTGGACCTGGATGGTTTCTGTCTCAGCTCCCAGTCCCACACCATTCACGTCAACCAGTACAGCCATCAGTTCCACTCCACACATAATAATGATAACAGCAACAGCCAGAGCCAACAGAGGATCAGAGAGCAGACTGAAAGCTATACCTCTCCTACAGGGGGCCTCAACACCAAGTTCAGAGCAGAGTCCTCTTCCTTCGTCCACAGTCCCCTGACTGTCCCAGCACCGAGCCTGGTCTCAAACACACTCTCCAGTATTCTGAAAAGCAAGGGCATCCCCAACCTCCCAAACCCCAACCTCCCAAATCTCCCACCAGTCAGCCCCCTAGGCCTAAACGAGTGCCACCAGACCGTGTATTCCGTGCATGAGAGCTCTGTCACAGAGACGCAGGAGTGTGTGCATGACCCTAGCACCATGATGGTCCGAGGAGCTGCCTTCCCCACTGCTGCCGCCGCTAGCTCTCTTAACACGCATGCTACCCCCTCCCCATTCACCACCACAACAGTCACACTCACAGATCAGGGCCAAGACCCAGATCTCTGCAAGCCCACAGCCATCAGAGAAGAGATCAGACTGCCTGGTACCAGCCGGTCCATGGGGAGCACCCTATCAGGCCAGGGCCCTCCTCACTTCTCCAAACTGCTGTCTAGTCCCACGGTTATGGAGGGGTCACCTGTGACCCTGGAAGTGGAGGTCACTGGATTTCCAGAGCCTACTTTAACATGGTGGGTAGCTCATAGGCTTTAGTCATTCAGTAACACAGAAGCTGCGTCTGAAATGGAATCCTATTCCCTATATAGTGCACTACTTTTGACCAGAAGTAGTGCACTCTAAAAGGAATAGATCAGGGTGTCATTTCCGACACAGACAGAGTATTGGTGCAAGTAGAAATGGAACAGTAGAACTTCATTATTTTAATAAGATCTGTATTATTTTTACTCTTTAATAGAATGAAAAGTCTGGTTACAGTAGTATTAACAGTCACTGCTTTATTCTACAAGCAAACTGTCAACCAATGTGTTCGGGATATTCTATAAATCAATTCCAAAAGGATCATTCAGGTGGAGAGGAAAGGACACATTGAGAAATGATAAGATAGATTTATAAACTGCATGAGTAGGGTTAAATCTGAATCCCAAGTCATTTTGTGTGTGGATAACATAATATGTATTTATTCCATTTAATTTGACAAAAATCCTTTGGTGTTTTTTGACTTATCTAACCTTTTGTTTTGATTCCTGTTTACACAACCTTGATAACACGTTTGATCATTGTTGGCACGTTCACATTTTAAATAATCTAGTTGTTTTGATTGATTGTGCTTCAGCTCACCCTCTGATAAATAGGAATGTGATTTGTGTTTTTCTTGTTGTGATTGTGTGATGTGTGATAATTCACTTCTTGCTTTAGGTTCAAGAATGGAGAGAAACTGACCAATGATGAGCACATAGAACTGTCCCAAAAAGAAGGCAAACATGCATTGTTTATACAGAAAGTCACTGAGGCCGACGCAGGTCTCTATGTGTGCTGGGCCGTCAACTCAAGTGGCACCCTGTCCTCTAGCGCCGCCCTTCAGGTGAATGCAGGTAACAACAGATGTCCCGATCCCGACTGCTCTCTTCTCAAGCTGGACTGGCACACTTGTTTTGGCACTCTGTGTTTTCTCCTGTATCTCCTGTACCTGCTGCTGTTATGAAGAAAGAAAAAATATATCAAGCTTTTTACTGCCAGACCCTTTTCTACTCTCATTATAATGGAAAGTCGTGTTGACTTTGAACAGTAGTACACTGGATAACCTTAACTTCAACTGTATGGATGCATGCGGTGTCACCTCCGAACCTGATCACCACCACCACCACTCTACTACACCCAAAACACCACCTGTGTGTATGAAAGTGAGATTAATTTATGTTGTAGATTAGTATTTCATCTGTGCATAAAAGTATTACATCTCAATTAATTTATATCTCAACTAAAGTCGTAATCTCCTTCGTATACTTACCTTTTATCTAGAAAGTCAGTGCATTGAGTCTGTGCCTCCATGACCAAAATGGCCTCCAATTACAGAGTCAAGGTATTAATTTACTAATAAAATGCTAAAATCAGTCATTTAGCCAATTTCTCTTTTATTGCATTATGACTTTCCTAAACTTCAAAGCTCAGAGATTACAGTTAAAATCAGAAGTTTACATACACTTGGATTGGAGTCATTAAAACTCGTTTTTCAACCACTCCACAAATGTCTTGTTAACAAACTATAGTTTTGGCAAGTCGTTTAGGACATCTACTTTGTGCATGACACAAGTAATTTTTCCAACAATTGTTTACAGACATTATTTCACTTATAATTCACTGTTTTACAATTCCAGTGGGTCAAAAGTTTACATACACTAAGTTGACTGTGCCTTTAAACAGCTTGGAAAATTCCAGAAAACTATGTCATGGCTTTAGAAGCTTCTGATAGGCTAATTGACATCATTTGAGTCAATTGGAGGTGTACCTGAGGATGTATTTCAAGGCCGACCTTCAAACTCAGTGCCTCTTTGCTTGACATCATGGGAAAATCAAAAGAAATCAGCCAAGATCTCAGAAAAAAAATTGTAGACCTCCATGAGTCTGGTTCATCCTTGGGAGCAATTTCCAAATGCCTGAAGGTACCACGTTCATCTGTACAAACAATAGTATGCAAGTATAAACACCATGGAACCACGCAGCCGTCATACCGCTCAGGAAGGAGACGCGTTCTGTCTCCTAGAGATTAACGTACTTTGGTGCGAAAAGTGCAAATCAATCCCAGAACAACAGCAAAGGACCTTGTGAAGATGCTGGAGGAAACAGGTACAAAAGTATCTATATCTACAGTAAAACGAGTCCTATATCGACATAACCTGAAAGGCCGCTCAGCAAGGAAGAAGCCACTGCTCCAAAACCGCCATAAAAAAGCCAGACTATGGTTTGCAACTGCACATGGGGACAAAGATCGTACTTTTTGGAGAAATGTCCTCTGGTCTGATGAAAGAAAAATATAACTGTTTGGCCATAATGACCATCGTTATGTTTGGAGGAAAAAGGGGGTTGCTTGCAAGCCGAAGAACACAATCCCAACCGTGAAGCACGGGGGTGGCAGCATCATGTTGTGTGGGTGCTTTGCTGCAGGAGGGACTGGTGCACTTCACAAAATAGATGGCATCATGAGGAAGGAAAATTATGTGGATATATTGAAGCAACATCTCAAGACATCAGTCAGGAAGTTAAAGCTTGGTCGCAAATGGGTCTTCCAAATGGACAATGACCCCAAGCATATTTCCAAAGTTGTGGCAAAATGGCTTAAAGACAACAAAGTAAAGATATTGGAGTGGCCATCACAAAGCCCTGACCTCAACCCTATAGAACATTTGTGGGCAGAGCTGAAAAAGCGTGTGCGAGCAAGGAGGCCTACAAACCTGACTCAGTTACACCAGCTCTGTCAGGAGGAATGGGCCAAAATTCACCCAACTTATTGTGGGAAGCTTGTGGAAGGCTACCCGAAACGTTTGACCCAAGTTAAACAATTTAAAGGCAATGCTACCAAATACTAATTTAGTGTATGTAAACTTCTGACCCACTGGGAATGTGATGAAATAAATAAAAGCTGAAATAAATAATTCTCTCTACTATTATTCAGACATTTCACATTCTTAAAATAAAGTGGTGAACCTAACTGACCTAAAACAGGGAATTTTTACTAGGATTGAATGTCAGGAATTGTGAAAAACTGAGTTTAAATGTATTTGGCTAAGGTGTATGTTAACTTCCGACTTCAACTGTAGATGGTAAGTTGTTTCAGCCAAATTACCTTATTAAATGTATTTTAAATAAAGTAATGCATCTTCCGAATCAAAAGTTTCATGAATTGTTTGTGCTCCCTCTACTACCATCTCCTCTGTAGCTCAGCTGGTAGAGCACGGCGCTTGTAACGCCAAGGTAGTGGGTTCGAACCCCGGGACCACCCATACACAAAAAAATGTATGCACGCATGACTGTAAGTCGCTTTGGATAAAAGCGTCTGCTAAATGGCATATTATTATTATTATTTATCTCGTTATATCAGTTGTATGGTTCTACAGTTTAATGGTAATCTAAGATGCACATTTATCAAACGATCTATCAGATAATTCTGTCTGTTTTTCTATTTGACTTTATCACTACATCCCCTCCCCACACTAAAATCATAACCACATGTAACTACACTCAACTAAAATACACTTAATTAAGAGCAACATTACTTTTTAATTATTTGAAGATTTAAATAATTTATTTACCAATCAATCGAATATTCTAAAATCTGCATTAAAACAATATGTGCATTTTCAGACCAGAGATGTGTTTCCATCAAATTGAAAAAAAAATTGTGCACAGCTTTTTTGCTCATAAATTCCCATGTACCGGATAAAAAACACAAGTTAAATGGATTTCCATCGCATTTTCAACTCTACTGATGGTTTTCTCACAAAACTTGTTTGCGTTATATAGCGAATGTGCCCACTCTGGTATTGGCAGGTGCGCCTTAGCCAACAGCTGGCAGATACAGTGCGTGTATAGCCTACACGATGAGATTAATATGGACAAAGAGCGAGATTATTTTTAGTTATCAAACAGCAGCCAAGCATTGATCATCATGTCACCAGAATAAGACCCTCAATATTTATTTGAAAGGAGCATCAAGCGCATCACCTTTCACTTTCACCACCCTGTGTAGTTCATCATAATTTATTTAATTTGTAGCGTAGAAAACTGCATGCTTTCCGGAGTCGTAGTGGGAGGACCATACACATCATTGCGTGACTCCAAGTTTACTTTGATATGATGGTTATTATATCAATATTTGCACATAAAAGCGTTTCCAATGCCATTTCTCGCATAAATAATTTTACAGACACAAAACGATCCCACCTTGCATAGAGTATTTTTTTTAATCAGACATGTACTTTACTCGCATAAAAAGGTTGGATGGAAACCTGGTTTATGACAACAAAAACAGACTAAACAAGGGAGTTTTTTTTTGTTATGACAAGTTATGACCAATTTGGTTGTTATAAATCATAATCTTTCAAATCTAAGGGGAACATTTCATTCATGTAAATACATGGACGTTTTATAGACTGCTTTTAAGGTTAAGTGTTCTGCTATTGTACTGTATGCTGTGGGGTAACACAATCTCTCTGGTCAAACTGTGGTTCCGCAGGTTACACCTCCTTACTCCCATCCACCTCTCCACTAACTACTTCACTCCTCACACAGTCATGATAAGGCTGGCTCCCCTCCTGTGGTAGAGGGCTGAAATATTGCAGATACAGGCTTGAGATTGGCCTGTATCTGCAACAGATAGACAAGCCATAGGTTGTTCTTAATAATATCACGTAACATTTGAGAAGAAAATCAGTTTTTCTATTTAATACATTGCTGGTAATAAGACTACAATGGATTCTGGGACATACTGTATATTTTAAAATGGTACACATTTGTCTCCATTGGTTTCTTTCACCTTGCTACCAACTTGTGATTTTCACAGGGGCGCAACTTTCACTGGAGACCGGGGGGACATGTCCCCCCCACATTCTGAAATTGCATTTTTGTCCCCCCCAGTTTAATAATTGGTGTGCTTTAGGACCATGCGGATGCCTCCGAGCGTCGAATAGGCTGTTTGGAGTGTTTATCCGACTGGATTTTTAAAAATTAATAAAGTTATGTCCCCCCCCACTTCTAAAACCAAAGTTGCGCCCCTGGATTTTCAAAGCTCATCTAATTTGAAGAATACATCCTCCTGAACCCAATGGACATAATCAAACAATGCCATAGTAAATAGTGTAACTTGGTCTCCCCCTGTCTGTGGATCTACTCAGTTCCTGTCAAAGCCAGAAAATAAGCATCTCCTGGTGGGGGAAGATCTCTTCCTGGAGTGTGTCGTCTTGGGGAAGCCTGCTCCTTGTGTCATGTGTGTCATGACATGACGTGACTTACTTTAATGTATGACTGTTATTTATCGAATCACCTAACTATGTTTAATTGTCACTCGATTAAATTAATCATGTAACAATTAACTAATTAGGAATTTGGGGAACCACGGAATAAGTTGTTTAATGAGTTACTATCTCCCGAATTAAACTCTTAGAAGATATATATGTTATATATCGATAACAGTCACTTATTCAATAATTACCTCTTGTCAGTCTCATTCTGAATGTCGCATAATCCTTGAACCTGCAAGAACACTAACCTTATTGATGAATCAGCAATACACACACACATAGGTTATCGATTACTAACGTAATACAATGAAAACAGGTGCCTAGTGGACTGGACTAACAATAGCATGAATGTTTGGCTAGTGGAGGGGTCAGAATGGAAGGGAGAGACAGAGATTAAAACTATCGCGGTTACTTTGGAAACTACGCTACACGGAAATACAAATGCTTAAAAACCCACTAAACGCTCATTCGGATTAGAAATGCAATATGTATTTACGTGTAGCTGTCCTCGATAGTTGAGTTGATGATGTAGGACTCTGGTTTACCCACCAGAGATCCCAATGTCCTTGGTAGAGTTTCTGGTCGTAGTATTGGTTAGAATGGATACTTCAGATGTACAAGCGGTTGTCTGAGAGGGATTGTCCTCTCCTCTCATGTCTTTAGTGAAAGTTCTCTAGACGACGATACA